AGGACTCAAGTTCAGTTCCCAGCGCTCACATCCATCTGTAACTCTAGCTCCATGGGATCTGCTGCCCTCTTCTGGCCTACATGAGTACTACACACATGTGGTGTACATACAGACATGCAGGCATGCACACATAGACATAATTGACAACAATAAAAACAAATCTTAAAAAAGGTAACTAAACAGGGCAATGCTGATTAGAGAACAGATGAATTTCTGGTTTTCCCCTTGTTTCTTTTTAAAAAAGATGTATTTATTTATTATGTATACAGAGTTCTGCCTGCATCTATGCTTGCTGGCCAGCAGAGGGCACCAAATCCCATTACAGATGGTTGTGAGCCACCATGTGGTTGCTGGGAATTGAACTCAGGACCTCTGGAAGGGCAACCAGTGCTGGTAACCGCTGAGCCATCCCTCCAGCCGGAGAACAGATGGATTTTTTTAAAATTTATTTTATTTTATATAACAAAGTCCAATTAAATGAAAACAAACATTTATACACAATATTTGGGAATTTGGGCGTTGTTCTTTCCAAACTACTTCCTGCTGGTAAGGGGTGCTGTCATGGGGGATTCGAAGAAGATTCAGAAATCCTGGCTGTAGTCTGTAGGGCTGCTTTGTCCAGCTGTTTTGAATGTAGGATCACCTTGTACTCTGTTTCAGGCAGTCTGGCGTGATCAAACCACATTAGTCTGGAAGGAATCCACATCTTTTCATTTGAACAGATGGATTTTTATAAAACATAAATGAAAAGAATGGTTCATCTCTCTCTATGACAGCCACAGACTTAAAGGTCATCATTATGGGTGGCTGGGAGGGTTAGAATTATTTTCCTTCTTTTCCATTTTCCTCCTCCTTGAATTGGTTATGTAGCTGAGGGAAACCTTGAACTTCAGATCTTCCTGACTACCTCTCAAGTGCTGGGATCATAGGCATGGGCCACCATGGTTGCTTTCTTTAGTGTGGGGGATGGAATCCAAGGCATCCTGCACACCAGGCAAGCATGCTACCAGCTGAGCTATATCCCCCGCCCCCCTGTATAATTCTTTACATTTATCCACTCCAATGCTGCTTGAGATCTGAGTCATGCAGTCTGCATTAGCGGCTGGAAATGGAGACTCTGGTGTCATGTGTGCACTTCAGAGCACCAATGAGAGCTAGATGGAATAGTGTGTGTGTGTATGTGTGTGGTTAACACCAACCCCAGGACACAGTAAATACTAAATACTAGCTGTTTTAAAATTTTACTCATTGTGTGTGAGTACAGGTGTGCTTGTCACCATTGTGTGTGAGTACAGGTGTGCTTGTGTCACAGTGCCCATGAGGAGGTTAGAGGACAACTCCCAAGGAGACAGTTCTCTGTGGCCACTTGTGAGATATGGGGATTGAACTCAGGTTGTCTGGTTTGGCAGCAAGCCCCTTCAGCCACTGAGCCATCTCACCAGATCACTCAACATTTCCGAATATAATGTAGGAAATAAAATAGTGTGTCAGGTATTTCAGCAATATACTTAAAGGGCGGCATCTGTGTTACAGGCACCAATAACACTGATGGTCTAGCATCCAGGGGTTTCTTGGCCAAAAGGATGGCCTCTGACAGAAGGACCAGCCTTTCGTCTTCTTCTGATGAAGCCTGTCCGAGATTCACCGAGCCTCCAGTACCCACTGGATTGTCGATTCACTCCGAGTAAGTGTGTGAGTGTGTGTGTGTGTGTGTGTGTGTGTATGTGTTGAGATTTAGACAATATTGGGATGAACCATGTGAGCAAGAAGTGTGCCCTGCTAGGCAAGAGGTTCAGAGCTGGGCTACCTAGGTTCAAATCCCAACACTTCCACTGGTGATCTGTGTGAATTTGAGCAAATTGCATCACTTCTCTGGGCCTCTTTTTTTTTTTCTTTAACATTTATTTATTTATCCCCTCACCCCATGTGTATGTATGCATGCCATTGTGAACATGTGGAGGTCAAAGGACACCTTGAGAGAGTTTTACACACACACACACACACACACACACACACACACACAAGAATGAGAGAAATTAAAAAATGAGCATCCTAAGAGATACAGTCAAGAGTATGATTCCTGGGGCTGGAGAGATGGCTCGCCTAGCTTTAGTTCCCAGAATCCACGTGGTGGCTCACAACCACCAGGAACTCCAGTTCCAGGCGATCTGACACCCTCTTCTGGCCACCATGGGCACTGCGTGTACATGGCACCCTTACATTGTAGGTAAAACATTCATACACACAAAAATAAATCTTTAAAATACAATTTTACCCCTTTTAAGAGCACAGTGAAGTGGCATTGATTACATTCATAATGTCTTACAAGCACCGACGCTGCTTATTTTCTTTTTTTTTAAATAGCATTTATTTATATTTTATACACATTGGACTTTTGCCTGCTTGTATGTTTGTGTGAGGGAGCCAGATCCCCTGAAACTAGATGTACAAACAGTTGTGAGCTCCCATGTGGGTGCTGGGAATTGAACCCAGGTCCTCTGGAAGAGCAGCCAGTGCTCTCAATTACTGAACCATCTCTCCAGCCCCTGCCCATTTCCAAAACAATTCATCACCCAAACACAGACTCTGTGTCCACTGAGCCGTATCATTGCCCCTTCAGCCGCTCTCTGCCCTTGTATTAGTGGGGCCATATTGACTTGTCCTTCTGTCTGGCTAATTTTTACTTCAAATAACTTTCTGAAGGCTCACCCAAGTGATAGCATGTTGCAGAACTCCACTCTGTTGTAGACTGAGTTATATTCCTTTGTGTAAGCTGGATTTCATTTGTTCATCTGCCTGCTGATGAATGCTTGGAGTTATTCATTTTCTGCGATGCCCACCCACAGACAGGTGTCTGCCTGAGTTTCTGTTTTCTGTTCTTGTGGGTATACAATTAGGGGTAGAATTGCCAGGTCATGGATCAATTCCATGTTTTACTGTATGAGGAGCTAGTACCTTGATTTTTAAAAATTGGTTTAAATATATAGGTATGTGTACCCTATGCATGCCTGGGTGTCTGTAGAGGCCAGAAGAAGGCATCAGACTCCTTAGAACTGGAGTTACAGGTAGGTGTGACCTATTATGTGGGTGCTGGGAATTGAACCCAAGTTTTCTAAAAAACAGCAAGTGCTGCTAACTGACTAGCCTGTGTGTGTGTGTGTGTGTGTGTGTGTGTGTGTATATATGTATATATATATATATATATACATATATATATATATATATATATATAAAACCAAGTCCATTTAAATGAAAACAAACATTTATAGACAATATTTGGGAATTTGGGCATCGTTCTTTCCAAACTACTTCCTGCTGGTAAGGGGAGCTGTCATGGGGGATTCTAAGAAGATGCAGAAATCCTGGCTGTAATCTGCAAGCCTGTTTTGTCCAGCTGTTTTGAATGTAGGATCACCTGGTACTCTGTTTCAGGCGGTCTGGCTTGATCAAACCACATTAGTCTGGAAGGAATCCACAGCTTTTCATTTTCTGTGGAAACAAAACTAGAAATCCTTTTCCCCAGTAACTTGTCTTTGAACTTAAATTTTGGAGTCAAAGCATTTTTTTAAATTTAATTTTTTATTTTACATGTCGATCCCAGTTCCCTCTCCCTCTCTTCCTCCCTCCATCCCTTTTACCCTCTCTGCCCTCTCACATGCACCCTGACCACCCTTCCCTTCCCTCCCCCCCACCCTAATTCCATATGTAGGGGAATGCCGTCCAGTTGGGGTCATGTAGATCTGACAGGTCATGTGAAGTAGGGACTAGGGCTTCTCTCCTGTCTCTAGGTTAAGGCAGTTATCCCTCTGACTAGCCTGTTTTTAAAAGTTACATTTAATTTATTTATTAATTAATTTGGTGTGTGGCCATGTGTGCCTGGAAGCTAGAGGATAAACTAAGAAGAGTTGGTTCTCCGCTTCTGTCACCTGGGTTACCATGGATCCAACGCAGGTCCTCAGGCTCAGCAGTAAACGCCTTTACATGTTGTTTTTATTCTATATTCTTTGGGGAACCCCCCAGCACCCAAATAAATCACAGGGAATCTTATTACTTATAAATACCTGGCCTTAGCTTGGCTTGTTTCTAGCCAGCTTTTCTTAACTTAACTTATTCCATCTACTTTTTGCCTCTGGGCTTTTACCTTTCCCTATTCTTTATTCCTTTCTTTACCTTTTACTCCATGGCTTACTGTGCAGCTGGGGGCAGCCTCTGATGTCCTCTCTCCTTTTCTCACTCCTTCATCCCTCGTCCTAGGTTTTCCCTGCTATTTATTCCCTCTATCTGCCAGCCCCGCCTGTCCTTTCTCCTCCCTTGGCCATTCAGCTCTTTGTTAGACCAATCAGGTGTTTTAGGCAGGCAAAGAAACACAGCTTCACAGAGGCAAACAAATGCAACATAAAAGAATGAAACACATCTTTGCACCATTAAAACAAATGTTCCATAGCATAAACAAATGGAACACATCTTTAATAATATTCTACAACATTTACCTGCTTGTTTTATCTATCCATCCATCCATCCATCCATCTTTCTTTCTATTCATCCATCTTTCTTTCTATCCATCCATCCATCCATCCATCCATCCATCCATCTATCTATATATCTACCTACCTACTTACCTATCTCTTTCCCCCTCTATTTGGTTTTTCAAGACAGGGTTTCTCTGTGTATCCTTGGCTGTCCTGGAACTCATTCTGTAGACCAGGCTGGTTTGAACTCAGAAATTCACCTGTCTCTGTCTCCCGAGTGCTGGGATGAAAGGCATGAGTCACCACCCCCGTTAATCTGGTTGTTTTAAAGCATGGATCTTTTGATTAAGTTTTAGTACCTTCAAGTTGGGAGTCAGTAAACTACATGCTCAGGGACTTTACAGAGAGTGAGGCCAGCCAGTCCGCTAACTAAGAATGCTGTGTGCCGCTAGTAAAAGATCAGTTTGGTTGCCACTTTGAACAGGGAAGCAATTCTAACCCTATCATCTGCCTTCCAGCACAGCTTCCAAGATGGGTCAGAAGTCTTCCTCCTCTTCCTCCTCCTCTTCCTCTGCACAGTCTAATCGTTCCTCTCAAGTTTCACTGCCTAGACTCCAGAAGGAAACATATCCTGAGGAACTCAGCCTGCTTAAGTCACAGACAAGTGAGTAGGCCCTAGGACTTCCTCCATCAGCCTGTGCTCCTGGAGCCTTTTCAGAAATCTGTCATATTATGGGCCAAGTGACAGAACACCTCCCATGCCCAGTGTCAGGTGTTTGGCATGATTCCTCTTGGGTCCTCAGGATGGCTGTGTGGGATTGTATATGTGATCATATGGTTCTCATACATGAAAGGCCTTAGTGTAAGTGCCATAAAAGGCATCAAGCAATAAAGGCGTGTATAGACTATAAACCCCTCTTATTCGATATTCTCCAACAACATTCTTCCCTGTAGTGTGAAGAGCTGAATTTTGAAATAAGTACACCTGTGTACATATGAAAGCAGTCACATGTTGTATAATGTGGCTTCGGCTCACAGCGGTCTGCATATATAACAAAATATGATGTGGCTGAAAGCTTCTCTTTTCCTGGTAATGTCGTAACACACACGTGACTTGTGTCTGTGATGCTACTGGTGGCCAGTCATATAAAAGCATAGCACACACATTATAAATGACAATGATACATAACTATACCACTGGTTTAGATATTTAGTATGCTACACCATACCATCATTATACAGTGTACTCTCTCTATGAGAAGTTAAGGGGGCTGGCTGGGCTAGGCAGTTTAGTGGGCAAAGGCCCTTGTGTCTTAAGACTGAGCTTTGATCCCCAGAAGGCACATTCTGGAAGGACTGACTCCTGGAATCTGTCCTCTTGGTCTGCACCATGGTGATGCAACACACATGCGCGCGCGCACACACACACACACACATACACGGGCATAAAATACAAAGTTAACCACACAACAGTATGCGTGGTTATACGGCTGCCTCACACATTTTGGTTAGGACTTCTCTTGATGTTACCAAGAAACCATACGGAGTGTGCAGCTGTACTGATTCCTTTTCACACCCATGAAGAAGCAACTTAAAAAAGAAGGCGGCTTTTGGCCCAACCGGGGCCATGGGGGGGGGGGGGGGGGTGGGGGTTGGGGTTGGGGTTGGGGTTGGGGTTGGGGTCGGGTTTGGGGTAGGCTCGGGGGGTGGGTGGGTTGGTTAGGGGTTGGGGTTAGTGTTAGTGTTAGGGGTTAGGGTTAGGGTTGGGGTTAGGGTTAGAGTTAGGGTTAGGGTTAAGGTTAGGGTTAAGGTTAGGGTTAGGGGTTAGATGTTAGGGATTAGGGTTAGGGGTTAGGGTTAGGGTTAGTTAGGGTTAGAGTTAGGGGTTAGTGTTAGGGTTACGTTTAAGGTTAGGATTAGCATTAGCGTTAGACGTTAGGGGTTAGGGTTAGCGGTTAGGGTTAGGGTTAGTGGCTAGGGGTTAAGGTTAGGGGTTAGGGGCTATGGTTAGTGTTAAGGTTAGAGTTAGGGGTTAGGGTTAGGATTAGGGGTTATTGTTAGGGTTAGGGTTAGCAGTTAGGGTTAGGGTTAGATTTAGGGTTAAAGTTAGGGGTTAGTGTTAGGGTTAGTGGTTAGGGGTTAGGGTTAGCATTAGGGTTAGGGTTAGGCGTTAGGGGTTAAGGTTAGCGGTTAGGGTTAGTGGCTAGGGGTTAGGGTTAGGGTTAGGGTTGGGGGTTAGGGTCTATGGTTAGTGTTAGGGTTAGAGTTAGGGGTTAGGGTTAGGGATTATGGTCAGGGTTAGGGGTTAGGGGTTAGGGTTAGGGTTAGGGGTTAGGGTTAGGGTTGGGTTACGGTTAGGGGTTAGGGGTTATGGTTAGGGTGGGGGTGTCAGGTGTAGGAGGTATCTGCTCACACTGTGTCAGCAGTCAGGAAGGAGAGGGATGGTGGTGGGAATGGCTGGTACTCAGTTGGTTTCTCCTTTTTATTCAACCCAGGACTCAGTCTACAACCCAGCCTTCCTACCTCAGCTAGCCTAATCTAGAAGCTCTCACAGATGTGCTCTGAGCTGTGTCTACTGTATGACTGTGGATCCCATCAAATTCACACCTGTAGCTACCACACTGACCTCTTTTTGTAGGTTCGTGTGAGCACTCCATGGTATATTCAAAGGAGAATGAAGCAGCCTAATGACAGGCTTCTCAAGTCATCAAGTGGCGCATATGAGAATAACGGAGCTGTAGTATACAAAGTATTTCCCCTCAATTGTGTAGATCACAGGCCTTTTCCTGCATGAACACTTTAGGTCTATGTGACTATTTGCATTACTTATTTTTATTTTCCTAAAAGATTTACTATTTTTATTTTATATATGTGAATGTTTGTTTGCATGCATGTCTGTATGTGCATCATACATGGTCTGTGTCTGGTGTCCACGGGAGCCTGAAGGGGGCATCAGATTCCCTGGAACTGGAGTTATAGATGGTTGTAGGCTGAGAACTGACCTGGCTCCTCTGGAAGAGCAGTTAGCGCTCTTAACTGCTGAGCCATCTCTCCAGCCCCAATATTAGTTATGTTTCTGTTGCTGTGATAAAATACCATGACCAAAACCAACTCAGGGGAGAACGATTTCTTATAGCTCACGGTTCCAGAGGGATAGACCCAGAATGGTAGGGGAAGCAAGGCAAGAAGAGGAAGCAGAGAGGACACATTTCACCCATACACAGGAAGCAGAGGGGGTGGTGAACAGGAAGCCGTAAGCCCCCAGGAACGCACCTCCTCCATTGGGGGGTGGGGGTGAGCTGGAGGCGTGGGGAGGGGATAGGAAGATGGCTCAGTAGGCAAAGTGCTTGCCACACAAGCTTCAGGACCAGAGTTTAGATCCCAGCACCCAAGTAAAAAAGCTGAGCATGAGAGCCTATGCCTGTAAATGAAAGACCCGCAGAGCAGAGCTGGACCTTCATGCTCTGACTCAGGAAAGGCGACACCCCAAATCACTCAGGAGAAGCGGTCTTGATGCAACAGCATGAGGACTTTTTATTCCAAGTGCACTGGCGTCCACAGTCATGCGCCACACAGGGGTAGAGGACTGAGGACCCCGAGGGCAGAATTGAGACAGTTTTTATAGGGTTTATAACAAAGCCCACACACCAAACTAATCATCCCAAAGTGTCAAGATCCCACGTGGTGCGGGCCAATCAATTTCTGTATTGGTGTGGGCTCCTGGGTGGAGTGATAATTGGCAGCTAGGATTTGGGGTGGGGGTTCCACAAGCAGTTTACTAAAGTTAGATATGCAGCTGGTCAGCTCATCTCCTATTATCCTTACTCAGCCAGAAAGCAAGGCCTTGGGACAGTTTAAAACTTGGGTCGTTATGTCTTTTTGAACAAGATGACCCATAACAATTCCCAGAAACCAGACTGTTGTTGAGGATAACAATATTCCTCAGAAACTAGGTGGTTATGAATAATAATAATAATAATAATAATAATAATAATAATAATAATTTCCAGAAACCGGTCATTGTGACCAAGCTATTTCATGTGTTTTCTTTTTCCTGAGCTTTGCATGTAGCTAGGGTGATTTTTAAATACATGCTGGTGGATATTTTTAAATTTCTAACTTTTAGTGGTCATTAGAGAGTTAGGCTATATTTTCATCCTTTCATAATCCCAGCAGGAAGGCAAGGGTAAGAAGGGTAAGCTCCATCCAGTGAGAGACCCTGTTTCTAAAACTAAGATGGAAGGGGACTGTGTACAGGGCTTAGCTGCTAAGAGTGTTGGCTGCTCTTAGAGGACCTAGGTTCAATTCCTAGCACCCACATGGTGGCTCACAACTGCAACCCCAGTAACTCCAGTTCCAGGAGAGTCAATGTCCTTCTCTGACTTCCATGGGCACCAGGCACGCATGTGGTACACAAACATACCATTGTGTCCAGACGTACAGACTCTGAACCCCCAAAACCACCAAGAGACTGGTTAACTCGGGTCCTCCATCCATTCAACACAGTGGGTAGAATAGGAGAGACTCTGAGAAGCAATGGGCAGGACATATATTGGGGTAGAGCAAGGGGGCTATCTGGGGTGTCTGGTAGTTGCATAGCAACAGCCTCAGGATTGGTGCACCTTGGGGCTGGGGGAACCTGTCCTGAGTCTCAGCCGAAGAAAGGTTGCTAAGCCTAGAGGCCCTCCCAGGGCAGTTGCTACACTCTGCATTCCACTGTTATCAGTAAAGCACATCTGGAACCCTCCAGCTAACTTCTGATTGGCTCCTTGCTACATGGAGAGTGTCTGGCAGTTGCTTCCTAGGGATTAGGGCAAGGTCGATGGCTCAGCTCCTGCTGCTCAGTCAGGGTCCTACAACTTGCTGGGTTGTTTCTGCAGCCTGTCATGGCTGCCAAAGCAGGGGTCTGGGTGAGACTCTGGGCCCTTCAATACAAGCAGACAAAACACTCTGAAAAGTTTCTATACCCTGATAAGCCTCTCTGCCATACAGCAATCCAAATCAGACCAAATCAAAGAGAATTGGGAAAAGCCTATGTTTAATGGGTACAGCGCTCCCGGATGGTTCCAGCCCCCCCCCCCCAGAGAGGAGACAGAAAAGGGAGACCGGAAAAACCATGAGCCTGGTTTCTGGAGGGCATTTTAAATACCCTGTGGGAGTGGTCTTGAGCATCATTTGGCAGGCTTTCTGAGATGCAGCAGGGTTGGAGGGAGATGGGGGAGGGGGCTTGGGTGAAGCTGCCACCTTAATACACCCATGCACACAAAAGCAAAAATAAATATTAAAAAAAAAAGATGAAAAAGCAGTTGAGGAAGACATTGATGTTAACCTGTGGTACATAAACTCACAAGTATGCCTATACATATGTCCCTACTGGAACATACATGTGTACATGTACACACACACACACATACACACACACACACACACACACACACACACAGACTCCATAGAAGCGTTCAAATCAACCTGGACTACACACTCAAAAGAATAGGAGGGCTGGAGAGATGGTTCAGTGCTTAGTAGCATGGGCTGCTTTTCTGAGGGCTAGGATTTGGTTCTTGGCACCCACATGGTGGCTCACGACTGCCTGTAACTCCAGCTCCAGGAAGGTCAAGGCCCTCTCTGGCCTCTATGGACACTGCTTGCCTGTGGTGCACATACATCCTTGCAGGAAAACACTCTTCCACATTTTTTTTTTTTTTTAAATGTGTGTATGTGAGAAGGCTGTAGGCTAAATAGAGCCTAGGGAGTTTTTACATCTTGGCATCTAATTGTCTGGGGGCAGACAGCAGGGCTAATGGGAAAATTTCTGATGTCTTGCAGAAGACGGGCATCGTCCTGAGTGGACATTTTACCCAAGGTTTAGCAGCAATATCCACACCTACCACGTTGGAAAGCAATGCTTCTTCCATGGGGTCTTCCGGGGCAACAGGAGGTCTGTGGCAGAGAGGACAGTGGACAAGAGCCTTGGGAGGAAGAAATATGGTAATGTGTCTCATTCCCTCCAAGATGAAACAAACTAACAAGCAACAAGCCCTCAGTAGTGACTCTGTGGACTCTGCTTTCTCTGGCTGGGGACAGCTCTGCAGGGTCACCCCTGTTGTTCACAGCACAGCCAGGGAGACAAGAAGGCAGAGAGTCCTGTTCACAGGTGACAACTATTGACAAAGGACACAGAATGCACATGGATCCACACTTTCATCTTTCTCTAGCTCTCATAAAGTGCTAATGTGACATTTAAGTCACCAAATGAGTCACTGCAGATCATTGAAGTCCAAAGACAATCATGTACGTTTGTTTCAGTTAGTTGCCACTGGTCTTGTACATTTTAAATAAGCCTTAGCATGATGTATATAGTGTTAGTTTTAATTAAAGGTGACTAAGATGAAATATTATACTTATACCATATCCACATCCATGTATCACCCTGGTTTGTAACCTGGTGAATTCTCTGCCCCAACTCACTCAGAATAGACTTCCCAAAAGATCCTAAGAGGTTGTTGAGCACTGGAGGGCCACTTATGGCCCTTCCTTACAGAAATACCCATGTAGGAGGAGGCAGCCAATGCCTCAGTGGTGAATAAGGTTAACTGTAGACACGGTGCAAAAAGAAATAAGCATCAACTTCCCATGTAAAGGGCAAATGGATTTTCAAATTGAGGTTGGATTAATCTGGTGAAAGAGCCATCCTGGGGTAGCACAAGCATGGCCACTGATATAGGGTCTGCACAGGAGTCCTGTGCCTTGCCCAGATCCTAAACTTCCTATTCATCAAGAGGAAATGCAGAGCTGCAGAGATGGCTCAGTGGTTAAGGGCTCTTGTCAAGGACCTGATTCTATTCCCAGCACCCACATGGGAGCTCACATCCATCTGTAATCCCAGTTCTAGGGAACTGATGCCCTCTTTGGTCCCCGTGGCCACCAGGCACTCACGTAGTGTGCTGTGCAGACACACCTGCAGGCAAAACACTCACATTCATAAAATAAAATAAAATAATCAGAGGAAATGCAGGCTGGAGAGATGGCTGCCGCACAAGCCTGAAGACCCAAGTTCAGATCCCCAGACCCACACAAAAGCCAGTCACAGGGGTCGTCCCCTGTAGCTCCAGAAGTGGGGGAGCCGAGACAGATGATCCTCAGAGCCCGATGGCCAAATGAGTTCAGTGAGAGACTCTGTATCAAAAAGTAAGGAAGATAGCAATTGAGGAAAACATCCATCATTGACCTTTGGTGTCCACAGGTAGGATCACACATGCATATTGCACACCCATGTGCACACACGTGCACACATGCAAACACATATGTATACCACACACCCAAGTACATTTAGAAAGGGAAAGGCATGGCATTTAATTGTATGAATGTACACAATTTACTTTTTCCTCACTCATATATTTTACCCTTTTTGTTATTTAGAGTTGATACAAGGGTGTCACACACATGGACCACCATAATAAGTAAACAGAACTTAGGGAGTTTGGCAAACTCAATACCTAACGATGACTACTTTTCTGTTTTTAGTTTTAAAAGTATAAATCATGGTAGAGTACTTGCGTAGCACGGGCAAAGCATGGCTCCATCTCCTGCACACATCAGACATCATATAGCACATGCCTGTAATCCCAGAAGTTGGGAGATGTTGACAAGGATCGGGCATTAGAGGTCATCCTTGCCTCATTGTGAGTTTGAGGGCAGCCTGGAATGCATGAAACCCAATCCCCAGATGAACACAGAGTTCCACCCAGGACTTCAGATAAGTGCATGGCTCAGTCCTCATCAGAGGAACTTCTTGATGTTTAATAATAGGCCAAATAGATGTGTATTCACGGAGAAATAACTCACAACATAGACAGATGAACACCAGCAGGTTCCTGGTCCCAAGGATGCCTCCGGATGTATTCCTGTCCCCGTGCTGCAAGCAAGAGAGCTCCCTGAGCCCCCTCCTGGTCACGTCCAGCCCTGTCTCCACCCCCAATGGGCATGGTCTATGCCACAGGTGCAGACAAGGTGACTATCTTACTACCCAGTAGAAGATAATTAACACACAGACCCACAACTGGACAATGTGAATAGAGTGAGAGACTTCGATGTTCTCAGGCCAAAATGGGATGATGTCCACTCCTCTTAAGGTGCAGTGATATATCCGGGAGAGGGGCAGAAAGTCTTAAGAGCCAGAGTGATGGGAGATGTCATTCTGTAAATATGCTTCCCTTATTGGTTAATGAATAAAGCCCCGTTGGCCTATAGGAAAGCAAGATAGGCAGGACTAGGAGACAAGGAGGATTCTGGGAGATGTATTAGAGTGGCGTCAAGATGTAGGATGTGAGAGGTCTGGACCCTCTCTCTGGTAAGTTAAGACCACGTGGAAACACTTAGATTAATAGAAATGGGTTGATATTTAAGACAGAGCTAGCCAATAAGAAATGCTAGCAGGCCAACAGCCTGTCTCTATGTGTTATTTGGGGCTGACGTGGCTGTGGGACCAGGCTGGTGGAGAATTGCTCGTAACACCAGAGATGGTGGATGACTCCAAAGAAGGCACCATTTTCTTGACCTAACAGGAAAGAAGGTCACATGAGCTTACAGAAGACTAGATAGCATGCACCTGCATAATCTCAGGCTAGTCAAAAAACCCTGTAGAGGCGGGCATAATTCCCATCCATTGCTTGCAATTGGTAGCTGCTGGGAGAGGGAAAATCAGTTTTTTTTTCAATGGAGTGACAATGGATATATCAACCACACTCCAGGTCAGGCCCCATGCTCAGGAGTTGTTGGCCAACATAAATTAGATTCCACTTTGTGTGTGTGTGTGCTTAAAGAGAAAGAAATTACATGAAGTTGGGGAGAATCTGGAAGGGGTTGGGGGGAACGGAAAGAATATGATTAAAATATATTGTTTGAAATCCTTAGAGAATAAATACGAACATTTAAAACAAAATGAAGGGGCTGGAATGATGGCTCAGTGCTTAAGAGCACTGGTTACTCTTTCAGGGGACCTGAGTTTGTTCCTCATCACCCACATGGTGCCTCGCAGCCATCTGTAACTCTAGTCCCAGAGTCTGATACTCCCTCTAGCCTCAAAGGGTTTTGCACACACAAGGCACACAGACAGACATGCAGGCAAAACACTCATATACACAAATAATAAAACAATAAAAAACAAAATAAAAGCTACATGTCTAGCATGTCCAACCAAACCAACTAACAGACCAATCAAGCAAAAAACCCCACCAAGCAAACAGATGTGTATAATTTTTTTTGAGACAGGAATCTCTTTGTGGTCCTGGCTGTCCTGGAACTTGCTCTGTAGACCAGACTGGCCTCTAACTCAGAGATCAGCCTGCCTCTGCCTCTGAAGTGCTTGAATTTAAGGCATGTGCAACCACAACTACTATTTGGTTTGTGTATAATGTTTTCTAATATATGACAGAATACTTTTTTCTTCTTCTTGAGATTTTTTTGAGAGCGAGTTTCTCTGTGTAGCCCTGGCTGTTCTAGAACTCACTCTGTAGACAGGATTGGCCTTGAACTCACAGAGATCCGACTGCCTCTGCCTCCTGAGTGATGGAATTAAAAGCATACCCAATCACTTCCTGGCCCAACCTTATTTTTCCCTTTTAAAAAATTTAGTTTTTTTTTTTTTTTTTAACCTTCAACTGGGGCTGCCCATGTGTGTGAGGTCATCCATGGGTGTGGGGAACTTGCCCGTGGCCATACTCTTAAATAAAAGTGACTCTCCCTCCCTCTGCAGCTAACAGCTGACAATGGATCCTCAGGTCTAGAGCCCCAGGCGCCACTCCCAGCTCATGTGATATTTTAGTTGCATCAATCTGATGCAAATCTTGCACAGATACTGTGTGTGCATGTGCGCAACCGCAATGCCACATCCAGGGGAGCACACTTCACAGCCCTACCCTCTGGCTCTTACCTCCTTTCCACTCACTCTTCCTCAGCCCTCCATGTTTTAAAGTAATCATATCTGCTAACGTAGTGTAAGGGGAAAAGTCACTGTGAGCTTGAGTTTCCCAAGGCAAGGAGCCAAGAACTTGATGATTGTCACCGTCATGTCACGGCTTTGGCTTCAGCTTCAGCCCCACGAGTGATGCTTTCAAACGTTCCCCACAGACATTGATCCCAGAAATGGAATCCCAAAGCTAACTCCGGGGGATAATCCGTACATGTTCCCAGAGCAGAGTTCAGAGTTCTTCAAAGCGGGAGCAACCCTGCCGCCCGCCAACTTCTCACTGTGAGTGCACACTCGTCCCAGAGGAGTCCAGTGTCTGGGGCTGCATGCGAATTAGCGTTCTTTAATTAACTTGTTATTTACTTTATGTATGTTGGGGCGTGTGTGTATCATATGCTCTACGTGTGCAAGTGTGTGCACGCGTGCATGTGGGAGTCAGAGGACGGCACTGAGTGTTTTCCTTTTTTGTTCGCCACCCTATGCTTCTAGACCAGATCTCTCTGACTGAACCCAAAGCTCAACATTTTGGCCTGGCCAAGTGAGCTCCTAGAGCTGCCCGTCTCTGCCCCCTAATGCCGGGGTCACAGCACACACAATTGTGCTGGCTTTTATGCTGGTGCTGGGATCTCTGAAATCCATGTCCTGTGCTTTTAGAGCAAGCTTCATATCTACTGAACCATTTTCCTGGTCCTTGTATAGAAATTATTTTTTAAGGGGTGTATAATAATAAGATGGGATGGAGTGAAAAATCCCTTAGAAAGTTCATATTTAACTTGTGCCTGTATGTACTGTAGAATTGAACTAATAAAAGACACAAAAAGGGCTGGGTTATAGCTTATTGGTGGTGCTGACATAGGCAAGGTCTCAACTTCAACCTCTAATACAATATAAAGGACACCATATTTAAAGACGCATGTATGTATGTATGCATGTATAGTATATCACTGGGGGGGGTATTTGTGGGAAGGAAGAGGACCAGTGGGCAGGGTGATGGAGGGTCGAATATGAGCCAACTCCAGTGATATGCATGTATGGAAATGTCATGAAACCCATTATATTGCACTTTCAAAAGCTGCTAGAACAAGAAAAAAGTAGTTGTTTATTAGTCTGATTTCTATTACCACATACTTGGAGACTTTGGAACTTTCATACCCAATCTGATTGTTAGTGACTAGTATATGGGTTGACGTTAAAGGTGGAAGCGAACTTAGGCAAATTGGATCAAAGGGAAGAGTCATTCAACTAAAAAGGAAAAAAGTTGTTGTATTATATTGAAAATATTTCCAAAACCAGTCACGTGGGAGCCAATGACCTTGATGAAACATAACAGCAGCAGCAGCAGCAGCAACAACAACAACAATTAAGCATTATTCCCCGTCCAGTTTTGAAGCCCACATTTGAGAACTGATACTAGAAGGTGGGACGTATTTTGGAAATGATGATGTGTTGCTCTCTGTTTTAAGAGGTTGTTGCTATTGTTTTTTTTTTTTTTTTTTTCAGGGTTCCTTATGAGAAAAAATTCGATACGTTTATCCCGCTGGAGCCACTTCCACAAATTCCCAAGTGAGTCTTCTCACCAAGTTTTCTATGGTCCTATCTCGGTGAAAATGACACCCTTTTCTCCCATGGAGGAGCCAGCCTGCAGACGGTCAAGCCATGGGGATCGTTTGGGTCCTAGTAGGCAGGGTTGGTGCAGTATATAAGGTGGACAGTAGGAGAGATACAGACGGCAATTGCGTGTTTGTGGCATCTGGCCACAGGAGGGGGGAAATTCTACATATAGACACCAGCTGACTGCCAGATGCCATGGTGTGCTTGGGGCGGGGGCGGGGGGGAGTTTACCCCGAGCAAAAAGATCGATAATACCGTTTTCAGGGTATTATCACATCAGAGTGCCCTGGGAAAGAAAAGCACGTGTTTAATGATTGCAACTGGGGAACTTGGTTAGAGCTTCAAAGAGAAACCCAACAGAACGCCCCACAATATTTGTTTATTTGGGTTTTCAAGACAGGGTCTCTCTGTGTAGCCCTGGCTGTCCTGGAACTTGCTCTGTAGACCGGGCTGGCCTCAAACTCACAGAGATCTGCCTGCCTCTACCTTCTGAGTGCTGGGATTTAAAGGTGTGTGCCACCATGACTGGCTGGAATACCCTGTATTTAGGGACTGACGATCCCTCTGTTTTTATACTTAAATGGAAGACGTGTGTATGGATGCGCATGTGCTGTATGTTAGGGAGTTGGCTCTCTCATGCTATGCGGGTCTCAAGGACTGAACTCAGGTTTTTATACATGGCAGTAGGAGCCGTTTCTTACTGAGCCATCTCAGTGGCCCTAATTTCATGCTTACAGAATTAACTATTTTTTAAAGTAAAAATTATGTGTGTGGGTGTTTTGCCTGCGTGTATATCTGTGTACCATGTGTGTGCCCAGTACCCAGAGACGCCAGAAGAGGATTTTGGATTCCCTGGAACTGAATTTACAAATTATTTCAAGCCACCGCATGGGTGCTGGGAATCAAACCAGGGTCTTCTGCAAGAGCAGCCAATGCTCTTAACTGTGACCGAGCCATCTCTCCAGCCCAATTTCACTTTTGCTCGGCCCCAGTCTGAACCTCATGTGCTTAGTTACCTCTCCTGTTTCTCTCTCTTTCCATTTTTGAGTCCAGTCTCATGAAAGTATGCAGAGGTAGCCTGTGTTCCCGAGTCTCTCACACGGATTCAGTGGGAGTACCAAACTCTGGAGCTCGGTGGGAATAAAAGCATTTTATCCTAAACTTGGCACCTCTGATGCCTTCATTATGCTTCATTATTCCTTGTAACATGTAATTAGGCTTCTCATGTCTGTACTTTCTTTTTTATAAACACTATTTAAGAATACTTAAAATACCAGCAACCACCTAATTTTAGGTTTTTTTTTGTAAATATGTACAAATATATTTGTATGTCTAAATCATAAAATACCAAGCAGTATGGTTTTTCTAACTATTATATTGTATTTATTTATTTATTTATTTGCCCCCTCCATTACTTTTGGTTTTCAAGACAGGGTTTCTCTGTGTAGCCCATGCTGTCCTGGAACTTGCTCTGTAGACCAGGCTGGCCTGGAACTCATGGAGATCTGCCTGCCTCTGCCTCCTGAGTGCTGGGACTAAAGGGGTGCGCCACCACCACCCAGCATGATTTTTATATCTTTTATTGACTCCCTCATTTTCTTTAAACACATCAGCATAGTTACCATAGCCATGTTACTATTTTTGTTTGCTAAATGTTTGTGGTCATTTTCGGGTCTGTCCTTGCTGACTGATTTGCTATCTGATTACTGACTCTTGGCAAGACCAGTGATTTTTGTTTGAAGATGAAACATTGTGATTTTATGGTGTTGAGTGTCTGCATTTTGTTATTATCTAGTAAAGAATGTTCAGCTTTATTCTGACAGTCGTTTGCAGTGTGGTATGATCTTTTGATACTTGGTTTTTGAAGGACCCTTTTGAGGATGTTTTGACTATTGTTAGGAAAGCACAGAGTAGCTAACCCTTCCCTTTGGAGTCTCTACCAAGTGCTTGGAGTAATCAATGAAGTCTTAAACTTGGTGGGATCTAGAAGGATCTTTCAGTTTTCTATGAGAGCTGGAAGCAGTTCAGCTCATGCTTAGGGTTATCCAGCTCACATCTCCATATTACTGTTCATCACCACAGGATGTCAGGGCAGGATCCTGGAGGCAGGAGCTGATGCAGACACCATGGAGGGGAGCCCCTTACTGGCTCTCTCAGTTTGCTTTCTTGTAGAACCCAGGACCACTGGCCCAGGGATGGCGCCACCGAGAATGGGCCGGGGACCGTCCCCCATTAATCACCAATTAAGAAAATACTTTATAGGCCTGCCTAAACCTGATCTTATGGAGGCGTTTTCTTAATTGAGGTTCCCTGCTCTCAGACGGTGTTAACTTGTGTCAAGTTGACATGTATCTATCCAGCACACCTCACAACAGACTACTTAATTTCTCTATGTCACTACACCTTACACATAGATGCCTCAGCATTTAGCGAAACTCAAGGGGACTGCTATATACGTTTTGGAAGCTCATTTTCTGTGTAGCTCCTTCTTTCCCACAGCTTTACCCTGCTCTTTCTGTGCTTTGAAGGTTCTCTAACGACTCATCTCTGGCTTTGCAGACTTGTAGAGAGCACTGTGCTCTCTCTGTCTGCTTAGATTGCCCGTTTCCTCAATTATGAAGCAAAAGTTTGCAGGTGGCCTTTTATCTCCCATGTTACTGGATGAATGGGTTTTATACAATTGCATTACTCTCATTATCCATGCCTATAAATATTAAGATTATAACTCTCCTATTTCATTTCCATTTAGCTGATATATCTTAGGTCATTCTTTTGCATTTGAATCACTTTGTATTTAGGTCTGCCTTTTAATATATATTAAATATATATTTTAATCTATATGTATATATGTAATTTTCTCATTTCATCTCTCTCTCTCACTCTGTATGCACGCACACACACACACTTTTGTTTGAATGTATGCATGTGGAGGTTAGAGATTAACCTTAGGTGTTATCCTTAGGTGCTGGCCATTTTTTTTTTTTTTTTTTTTTGAGACAGGGCCTCTCAACTGTGAGGTTGTTGATTGGGCTAGGCTGGTTGGCTAGAGAACCACTAGGATCTGCCTGTCTCTGCTTCCCCAGCGCTGGGATTACAAGTACGCACCACCACATCCTGCTTTGTTATGTGGGTTGTGGGGATTGAACTCTGGTCCTTGCAGTTGTATGGCAGTCACTTTACTGTTGTGGGATATTTGCACACTGTGGGAAGATATATTGCAGTGGTTGGTTTCACAAAGCGCTGCATGGTCAATAGCTAGGCAGGAGGGACTTCTGGGCAGTGAGAGGAAGTAGGAAGATATAAGGTGCAGAGGAGACACCAATCAGACGTGGAGGGAGTTAGACATACAGGATGAAAGGAAGGTAAAAAGCCACATGGCAAAACATAGAAGTAGGCTAATTTAAGATAGAAGAGCTAGTGGGAGAAGCCTAAGCTAAGGTCTAGCTTTCATAATTAGCAAGTCTCCATGCCATTATTTGTGAGCTGGTGGCTCGAAGGGAAGTCCAACTACGCTTTACTACTGAGCTATCGGAGGCCTCCTTCATTTTGTGGGTGTGTAGTGCCTTACCCATTGGTGATGTTTGTAAGTTTAATATGGTATACATTCAAACTGATCAGGAGTGTTCTTCCTCCAGCTTGCCTTTCTTGGAGAAGGAGAAGGCCATCAACTTGAAGAATGAGATAAAAGAAGTCCAGGACCTGGACAACTGGCAGGCATCGTCACCCTTCCTACAAAGTTTTTTCTCCTCTGGTAGGTTCAAGAAATTTCAAAAACTATAAGACCTGTTGAGAAGAGCAGTTTTTTTGGGAGGCTTCATGTGCAGCTCAGAGATGGCAGAGCCTCTCCTGGAGTGGGTGCGTCTTCTGCGTCATAAGATCCTCTGGGCAAAGGTCCCCGTCATGCATTAGCCGTTGGATGTGTTGGCTGAGAGCTGTTGGGCTTGTAAGGGGGCACACTCTTTAATGCTGTACCTCTATCCACAGGTATTTTCAACTTTCCGAGACATCCCTGAGCAGAAATGAGCCCCCAGGCATGCACTGACTGACCTCCATCCAGCCTCTGCCAGTGCTGGGTTTTTCTGTTGTTTGTTTTTGACATTGTCTCTGCCCTAAACCATTTATTTGACTCTAATGAGGAATCACTATGATCTGTCTTGTTTAAGTCTCAGCTGGGGAAACTTTCAAAATGCATAGAGAGGTTTCACAAATCATAAAGCAGACACCAGCATGCTTTTGATCCAGCTTCTTGCCACTGACAGCATTTACTCTGGTTCCCTCTCCCCTGACCCCTCCCTATTGTTTTGACTCACTTGAGAGCCAGTGACGCACATCATCATCCTTTCCATCCCTCAAACACGTGTCTCTTGAAATGGTGGGTATTTTCTACCCAGTGTATGTAAATTTCCACTGCAAGGTATTTAGCACTGATGGCAACATGCAGCTCACATTTGGTTTTATGCAGATACATTTTTTTTTTCTCGAATGCCCGTAGGTCAAAGGTAATAGGCAGATCTCTCAGACTGCTATAACAGAATACTAGAGACTGGGTAGTTTATGAACAAAAGAGTTTCCTTCTTATAGTTCTGGGGGCAAGTCCAAGCCTAAGACGCTGGCAGATTTGGTATCTGGTGAGACACTGCCTTCTTGCAACCTAAGGGAAAAAGTAATATTTTGGCTCACAGGGCCAGAGGGATCCAGTCAGCCACAGTGGAGAAGGCATGGAAGGCTGTGGGTAGGAGCAGAAGGCTGGGCGTTCACATTGCACCCACAGTCCCAGAGTAAAAAGCCAGGAGGCTGTCGCCAGTGACCACTTCCTTCCCCTGATGCTCCCCTCTGAAAGGTCCCCATCCCCTCCTGAAAGACCCCTTGAGTTACTTTTCACACGACAGTTGCCACTAGATACCTCCTGTTATGACCTGCACTGTCAAAGTCCTACCATTTTTTCTTCATTCTCTCTCTCTCTCCCTTCCTCCCCCATTTCTCCCTCCCTCCCTTCTGTCCTCCCTCCCTTCTTTCCTTCCTTCCTTCCTTCTCCTCCCCTGTCCCTCTCCTTCTCTCCCCCTCCCTCCCTGAGACAGGATCTCTCTGTGTACCCCTGGCTGTCCTGGAACTCACTTTGTAGACCAGGCTGGCCTTGAACTCAGAGATCTGCCTGCCTCTGCTTCTGAGTGCAAGGTGATGGTGATGCAAGCCTCCACTCACTTTCAATCCCTATTTGCCCATTGTACAGTAAACTTCCTTTGCACCCCACACACATGAAATTCATGTGGAACTACATTTCCAGGAGAAGGTCAATATCTGTAGTTGGATTTTTCTTTGGGCCGCCAACCAGCTCACAAATAAAGCCACGGAGACTTATTATTAATTATGAATGCTTGGCCTTCGCTTAGGCTTGTCCCACTAGCTCCTTTAACTTAATTTAACCTGTTCTCTTCATCTGTTTCACCTCTGGGCTTTTAACTTTTCTTTCATCCTGAATGTCCTACTTCATCCGTGTCTGCCGGCTGGCCCCTGCTGTCTCTTTTCTTCCTCCCTTCCCTTCTTCCCCAAGCCTAAATTCCTCCTTGTACTATTCTCCCTGCCTGGAATGTCTGCCTATATCTCCCCCCCCCTTGCTATTTATTGGCCATTCAGTTTTTTATTAGACCAAGCAGGTGCTTTAGGCAGGCAACACATCTTTACATAATTAAACAAATGCAACACATCTTTACATAATTAAACAAATGTAACACATCTTTACATAATTAAACAAATGCAACACATCTTTCTTTACATAGTTAAACAAATGCAACACATCTTTACATAGTTAAACAAATATTTTGCAACAAATATCAAACAAACTGATTTTGAGATACCTGTGAGACACTGATGAAAAGGCCTATGATGTACTTGGCATAAAAGTCTACGGTATAAATATATGCACGTAAAAAGAGAAAAAGAAAATGTGGATTCAGGGTCTAGTTTTTATTTTTGTTTTTTTTCCCCCGAGACAGGGTTTCTCTGTGTAACAGTCCTGGCTGTCCTGGAACTCACTTTGTAGACCAGGCTAGCCTTGAACTCACTGAGATCCACCTGCCTCTGCCTCCCGAGTGCTGGGATTAAAGGTGTGCACCACCACTGCCCGGTCTGGGTCTAGTTTTAATGACCAGACTGGGATATTGGTCCCAACAGAAATATGAATTAAAATGACTCTTGGATCCCTGGGGACTGAGGGAAAGCAAATTCTCTTTGGGAACACTGTCCCACCTCAGGGACCCACAAAGATAAACTCCTGAGAAAAAAAAGTAAAAAGCCACAATCGGATCCACCACAGAGTAGTGCTGGTGGCTGAAACTCAAGCCAGGTCAGGGGACTGGGGAGGTGGCTCCACGGTTAAGGGTGCTTGTTGCTGTTCCAGAAGAAACAAGTTCACAGCACCCAAGTCAGGAGGCTCACAACCCCCTGTAACTGCAGTATCAGGCTGACTGAAATCTTCTGGCCTCATCGGATATCCTCACACGCATTTCGTACATACTCACGCACATATACACATAAATTAAAAAAAAATAAATCTTTAAAGAATGTTTGCGACATGGTATTACTTACTACGGTAGGGTGCATGGAGTTCATTTTGTAGTAAAGGTACTAGGACACCAGTTTGCAGCTGGCGAGCGAGAGGCGGGGTCTGGGATAGCAAGCTGGGGCTTGGGGGCGGAGCTAGAAAGCTTGCCTTAGCTTGAGGACTATGGACGGTGACTAATACTCTTCCCAACTATGCCTAGACGGTGCTGTTTACTTTTACTCCTAATTTTAGCCCTTTTCTGTGGAGTCTCTTGTTGTTAAAGGATAGCTGTGAGGGCTGGCAACATGGTTCAGTGGTAAAAGCACTTACCAAGCAAGTCCAGCGATCGGAGTTTGATCTCTGGAAGCCACAGTGAAAGGAAGAACATGTATGCTGTGGCGTGCAGCACCTCTCCCCAGTAATAAATAAGATTGAAAATACTAAGAGAACAAAACAGGTGAGATGGGGAGTGAGATTTGAAGTATTTTCCCTCAGGTAAGTAAATGTCATTTTAGGCAGACCAATTCTAGACAGAGAGTGATGTAGCCCAGAATTCGCTTTGTAAGTCAGGTAGACCACTATTGTCTTTGTGGAGTCAGGCTCTCTCAAATTGTGTTTTCTGCACAGCAACAGGTGTTGTGTGAAAGAGGGTTTCAGTGTCACATCGATTTGGAAATTCTTAAAACAAACAAACAAACAAACAACAAACAAAAAACCCAACCAAACAACCCCCCCAAACCCCTAAACAAACAAACAAACAAACAGGGGCTGGAGGGAAGGTTCAGCAGGTACGCACTCTTACCTGGGTTTGGTTTCTAGCACCTACCTGATAGCTCACAGCCATCTGTAATTCCAGTCCCAGGGCATCCAATATACATGACACAAAACATTCAAATATACCAATAAAAAGAATGAATCCACGAGGGAAAAAGAAAAGCGTGTCATCTTCTAGAGCTGCCATGCATAAAACAAGAGAGGTGGGCTCTGGCTAGAGAGGTGGCTCCGCTGTTACAAGCACTGACTCATCTTCTAGAGGACCCAGGTTTGGGTCCCAGCACCCCCATGGAAGCTCACAGCAGTATATAAGTTCAGGCCTAGGGGATCAAAGCTGTCATCTGGCCTTCTTGGGTACTGCATAAATATGCACAGACATACATGCAGGCAAAACACTGGGGGGTGGGCGGGGGTTTTCACAAGCAGTTCATGAAGTCAGACAAGCGGTTAGTCAGCTCACCTTCTGTTATCTTACTAGGCCAAGATTACATACTCAAGGGCCTGTCTGCCGTAAACAGCAAGGAGTGTGAGCTTGCCTCTTTACTGGCAGAGGACGGGGTCTGGAATTTGAGGTTTTCAGGGCTTTTTAGATAGTGTTTCTAAACTTTCAGCTTCCTGTGGTCACTGGAGAGTTAGGCTGTATTTTTCCATCCTTTCATTCCCCATTTCTTCTCTTGTTAATGGTTCTGATCTTAGAACTAGGGAAATTAAGAGGCAGCCTCCTCTTGGCTCTGGAGGCTCCTGTACTGTTGTCTAAGTACCATAATCTGGACAAGCACCCACTCATTATTTAACAAAAGCAACAACTTTTTAACAGTAAGCAACAAGAGAGGAATACACATGACTGCTGGAGCAGTTGTAAGAGGCTGTCCCTGGGTCCTGTAACCTCGAGTGGCGTGGGGGTGGGTCCAGGGGAAGAGGAGGACATATGCTGGACCAGCCGCAAAGTAGGCCTTTCCACCGAGTCCCAAGGTTTCCTGTGTGGTGACGTCTAACATAGACCAAGTCCCCCACTTGGAAGCGATGTGGGACTTGCAAGTCTTTTTCCTCCCGGAGCTGCTTTCACGCTTGCTGTCTCACCCACTTGAGCACCTTGAGCCTGGCAAACAGAGGCTGGGAAAGCAATGCATGAGCACTATGTACAGAGGCAATTTCCATCAGTGGAGGAGCAATTCACAGGGGAACAGCCCAAACAGTCCAGGGAGTGTTTCTAACCCTGAAAAGCACAAAGGGTAGGAGAGCTATCCAATCATTAATGCCAGTCTCCCAAGTCAATTTAGTGAGGGTCTCTTTGATGGTTCTATTCATCTTTTCTACCTGCCCTGAGCTTTAGGGTCTGTATGCACAATGTAATTTCCAATAAATCCCCAACATCTTGGCCAGTCCCTGACTTACCTGGGCAACAAAAGCTGAACCACTGTCTGATCCTAGTAACTTAGGTATTCCAAATCTTGGGAAAATTTTCTTCCAGTATCTTCTTAACCACCCCGGTTGAGGTCTCCTTCTTGGTAGGGTAAGCCTCTACTCATCCACCCTGAAAAAATGTCTATTAAAAACTAGCAAATACTTGTTACCATATTTGGCTGGCTTTACCTCCATGAAGTCCAAGGCAATGTATAATGGCCAGTCTTTTTGGCAAATGTAAGACTTCCAGCAAGCTTAGAATTTCTTCTTTGTTCCCTGCTGAAGTCAGCAGCCCCACATTTGTTTATAGATAGCCCCGTGCACATGTGCAGTCACAAAAGCATACCTGCTGTCCGTGTATATATTTATGGATAGGCTTCCAGGGATACTGAGCAGGAACCAGGATGCCTTGC